CCCAGTCTTCCTTCCAAGGAGTGGCTGGTGGGTTTGAACCGCCAGCCTTCTGGTTAGCAGTCAAATGCCTTAGGCACTATGCCACCAGAGCTCCTGATAAACATGTAGATGAAGTATATAGATAGTTATTTACTTCAAAGTTCATTCAGTAAATTTAAATAAAAATATGATTTTTTTTTCAAAATTAACTTTGTCTTTTAACAACCATTTCTGCCTTTTGTTTTAATGTATTTTAAAATGTAATTTTTAAGTATTTCAAGGCACTGCTAGTTTTCAATTCCCTATAATATAAATACACATTGAAAACATTTAAGTATAGTTATACACAGTATATTTTAAAATATGTAACAAAAATTATATATATTATAAATTAAAATATAAAGTAATTATATAATACAGGCCAGAGAAATCATTCTATGTATGCTTCTGAGTAATTAAATTAGAAGATGAAAATTATGTGCTGGTATCTCAACACCCTCAGATATCTCTTACATTTCTTAAGGTAAAAAAGTACAGACTGAAGAATTAGAGTAATCACCTCCATGAAAGTCAACACCAGCAGTAAACCCTGTCAAAGCATTAAGCTCAATCCACACAATCTTTAATAAAACTGAGAGCAAAGCAGATAGTTTGTCACTTGTAGGTAAACTCTTTGGCATTTTCTATTCACAATTATAAGTGCCCTAAAGATAAAACTAATTGAAGGACGAGGGTTCAGAATAAAGAAAATTTGACCATAATGTATTTTAAAGTATAATTAAAGTTGGAAAAACAGAAACTTAAAACAACAAAGATTTTACATTATACATATATAAATTAAAATAACTGATCTGAAAATTTCAAGCTATAGTGCACTAATGATCACTTTTTATTACTGCTGGAAGTATCAGCATCATAAAAGCAAAATAGTAACATGACCCTTTATTATTCCTTTATACCTTCCAACATTTTGGAGGTAAGAATGTTAAAAAAAGGACCACATTTTATAAGGAAAAAGCATCTTTGTGAATAGTTTCTTAGTATAAAAACAGAGCAAGAATCCTTAGTTATCATGCTAATTCGTCATGCTGGCTATTTTTCCAAACTGAAAATACTTAATTATTAAAATTGTAATCTCTAATTTACATCTTATAAAATGACAATTATGTATTTAATCTTGAACTTATGCTACTAATGTCTTACAAGATAAATCTAACAAGTAGAGCACTTCCTATTATTTTATTTCTAAAATGATATTTTAAAAAATCTTTTATTGTGATTTTGGTGAATGTTTACAGAGGAAATTCAACATTCATACACATTTTGTTTTGTGATACTGATTGCAATCCTGACAATGTAACAGCCCTTTCCTACTTCCTTCCTGTGTTTACTGTTTTTTTTTTTTCATCCTTCTTCGTTATCCCTTCCTGCTTACTGAGCTTTATACCTGGGCAAATGCAGCCCTTTTGATCTTGTATGGCTGACTGTTCTAATGATTATGTACCTCCTGTGCACCTTATAGGCCTATCATTTGGCTAAACATTGAACCACAGGGGTGAACACAGCTCTAGGCCTGAAAGGTATCTAAAGGCTATAGTCTCAGGGATTCTACCAGTAAGGATCTGACCAGTAAGCCTAGTCTTTTCTATTACAAAATTATTCTTTTAATAAAAAAAATAAGAGGTATAAAAACTTCTTTGTAAGTTTTTGTTTAAGATAGTGAAAGGAAATGAAGGATGGTGATGTCAAACATGTTTTATTGGTTAAAAATATTTCTTAGGAAAGTATGAACTGTCACTCTGCAGGTAATCATCCAGTATTTCTTGTTTGATTTCTATTTTCATTGTACACATATTACGTGTCCAAGGTACATTCCAATATGCATGTTTCATATTGTTATCATAACTCAAGAGTATAGGTCCTCATTTCTATCTATCAGGATCTGACATATAATTTTTTAACTTTTTACAATTAAAAAATTTTAAATTTTGATGTATAATCAAACAGTATAACAAATGGTTCCCCTAGATTTATGTTTCTAGTAGTGTTTGGATAATATCTTTCCCAATAATGCTTATCATAAAAATGTATAAAATGCTTTTATATCATACTTAAAACTGCCAGGAATACTAAAAATTGAATACAGTCTTTTTATTTGGAATGTGTTTTTCAGTGTTACAATCTGTTTCTTGAGAGATGGAGATGCTACCTTGGGTGTCACCAGCAACTTACCTCTGGCCTCCTCTCTACTCTTTGTCATGAATCTCATTGTGGTTAACAGTAGCCTGTATACGCATAGCACTATCACGACTAGCTTATTCTGAAGGGTAAACACATTCACAGTAAACTTTAACTCAGGCATGGGCAGTGAACTCTACACCGAGAGTTTAGATAGCAAGCCAGCACCATCACAAATATGCCCCCAAATTTCTCCCTCCTCTAGCCTAAAACAGTATGAACTACTCCTTTCTAGTCTATGTCATTTGATTACTGCTTAAAGTATGTTGGAGATGGACATTGAAATCTGAATATCATATAATGCTTTTATGTAAAAAAATGTTTTTAATTTTTTTTCAGTGATCTAAAACTACAGAAACTATTCTCAGTTAATGGGCCAAACACAAACAGGCAATAAGCTGCATCTGGCCTGTGGGCAGCAGACCTTGGCACTAAGCCGTGGGGTACAGTGGAGGCTGTCCTATAAAGAAACAGGAAAGACAGATGGGCCCAAATATAATTTTTTTTTTAACATGATTAATACCATAGAATTATTATATACTATATTATATCAAGGGAGCTCTGGTAGCATAGTGGCTAAAGCACTTGACTGCTAACCAGAAGGCTGGCGGTTCAAACCCACCAGCCACTCCTTGGAAGGAAGGTTGGGCAATCCTACTTCCGTAGTGATACCGCCTTGGAAACCCAAGGAGGGGTCGCTATGAGTCGGGGCCGACTCGACGGCACATAACAACAATGACAACAACATATTATATCAAAGAAGACTAGTCAATGGCATTGAAATTTGCTCATGACATATGAAAGAAAAAAGAGAAGCTCACAAAATATGTATGGTATATCTTTCCCCAGCTTAAAATATATACAAGCCAAAATGCTGACACTTGATAACCTGGGTGTTAAGATTATAAATAATTTTATTTTCTCCATTTTGCTTATTTATATCTGCTAGAGGGAACATGTATTAACTTTTCCCTTATCTTTCTTATTAGTCATTATTGGATTGTGATGAAGGAGCAATATGATCAGGCATATATCTTAGGATGATAATTTTTGCATTACTCTAAAACAAAAGGTGAACAAAATTATGCAGGATTATGACTATATATAAAGAGATACATTAAGAGGCTAGGTAACAGTCTGAAAAAGATACTGAGTACACAAATTCAGACAGCTGCAGTAGAAAAGAAAAGTGATGATGGTCAAACCAAAGAACAGGCTGAGAACCAGGAATGAATGAAATATGACTCCAAGGTTCCTACCTTGTATGACTGTGAGACTGATGGTGTCTTAGGGAAAATGGGGGGAAAAGGAGGAGAAACAAGTTTGGAGGAAGAGATGAGGTGGTTTGGGACATGTTGAGTGTGAGATGTTAACATGATATTCAGATCTGGTTTTAGATCTCAGGGGAAAGGTACATTTGAGGCTGAGAAGTAATTTAGAAGGAAAAAAGGAAGTGTTTCGAGTGCTATGTTACAAAAGGCAGTGTATAAAGTTTCAGAGGGGCTGTGTAACTAGACTGTTAGAAAGGTCATTAGGGTTGAAAATGAGAAGAGACTCTGGATTTGGTCACTAGAGATCTGTAATGCATTTGAAGCATGCTCCTTTTCTGTTTGTGTAAAATACTCTAAACAGTTATAAAATAGTGCTTTGCTTTTGGTGTGTGTGTTTTGTTTGTGTTGTCTTCACTCATCTTGAATTAATTGCTGTTACTGGTATTTTAGA